CGAGGAGGTGGGGGGGGGGGGGGGGGGTTGGAGTTAAAAAAAGTACACTTATTTTTATAATATTGTATCTATCTATCTATATTTTTAAATATATATTAATAATGCTTCTGGAATACAGACAAGGGATTTGGTTTTAAATCAGACCACTCCTTTACTTTTTCTTTTGGAGAAATGAGGTGGGGTAGAAACAGTAGTTCAGACTTCAGTTTCCCTGAAATTTGGACTGAGGCTTACTCAACATTTTACTTCTATGCATGTAGCTGTCCCCCTGCATAAAAAGGTTAAAGAGTTTCTGGCAGGGCTGAAGATCTGGATGCTACTTAGCAGATGTTAAAGGCGACTCCAGTGTAATTAGTAAAGAGGTAACACTAGAGCAAGCTCAGCTGTCTACTACAGATGAACTTAAAATGTCCCTGTATTAAGTGGTCACTGAAGATCAAAGTAAGTGCTTCCTAACTTTTAGGCAGTGCATATATACAGCTGCTGGAGGGAGCACACCGCAGCACAAACAAGATACCTGTACCCTGCCCCAGTTACTCTATACTCTAATTTTAGGCCTGACATTACTAGGGAAAGGGAGAAGTCATCTTTAATGCAACTCTCACCCTCCTCTTTATATGCACATCATGATTATTCTAGTTCATTATGAAAAAGCCTCTCTCCCCCAAACTCTCTTTTTGAGGCCTATTGATAAGGAAGGAAAAACAACCAGTCTGTCTTAAAGGGCCTTGTTTATGATTTTAGCAAACAATTCCACATAAGTGCCCCTGGGTCCAGCTGTCCTGACCATGATTATTTAACAAAATTCCCCAGTGTTGACACAACCTCAGTGTCTCTACAGGAAAACAGGCCTGAAAAGACAGGGGCATTTCACAGCTGATGAGCTTCCAAAACTTCAGCCAGTCACAGATTTCCATGTTGAGGGAGTAGTTTGGCTTCCATCCTGACTGTGCTACTCTTCCAGTCTCTCCTTTTCAAGTGCAAAAAGCCCCCTCCAGAAACATCAAGCCCATAAGTCTCTAAAGACAACGTGCACTTTTTTAAATTGACCAAGGAAGCATGTTGTAAAGTGAAAGTTGCTTCCAAACTTGCCACCG